TTCAATTCGCGATTGACGACAACGTGGGGGCTCTTTAGTTTGCAGGGTGCTGACGTGGCGTTTTCCGCCATTTTTTTTAAAGCTGCTGCTTTCGTATAAACCTCAAACAGTAACAGACAAACGTTTGATCTCTCTCTCTCTCTAGCTTTCTCTCTCTTCTTTCTCTCTCTCTCTCTCGTACACCTCAAAAAAACAGCTCTCTATCCCATGTTATTGTTCAAACATTTTATTATCATTACACATCCCTTTCATCTCACTATTTGCTCGTACTTCTTTTCTTAGACCCCCCTACACCCACCCCCACCCCCACTATTTTTCTCTATCTACATTCATTTCTGCCATTTTCTTGTTTAAAGAGCTTGAATTATATTCGAAGCAGCAAAAAAAACGAAACCCATTTTGTATTTGTATTTCAAGAATGTACCACACGCAGAGCAATTCGTTTTCCATGCTTTTCTCCATGGCCAACGGCGGCGGCGCCGGCCACAGAGGTAATTACGACGACGGGGAGATGTACTCTTTCGCAAATTCCGGCCATTCCGCCGCGTCGGTGGATTGTACTCTTTCACTTGGGACGCCGTCCACCCGCGGCGGCGCCGCCGCTAGTGAGACTAACAATCATAACCACCATCAAGAGAAGAAGCGGTCTTCTCTCATGTCTAACTTCGGCTGGAACATTCTGCCGTCGAAGCACACTCCGCCGCCGCCGCAGCAGCATCCGAAGAGCAGCCGCGGCGGAAGCAATGGCGGTTCTGGCGGCGGCGATCCTCTTTTGGCTCGCCGGTGTGCTAACTGCGACACCACTTCTACTCCCCTCTGGAGGAACGGTCCCAGAGGCCCAAAGGTGATTTAATTTTTATTAATTTATTAACTAGTCCCTTAACTCTTGCTTAATTAAACACTTAATTAATTTCATTTTCTTTTACTAATAATGTGACGAATTAATTAATTATGGCAGTCGCTATGCAATGCTTGTGGGATTCGGTTCAAGAAGGAAGAGAGAAGAGCCACGGCGGCAGCCGCCAGCAGCAACGGCGGCGGCGGCGCCGCCCATGGTTCCCACCACGTCGACACTACTCAACAGTACATGATGAATAACGCCACGTGGGCAAATCAGACACCCCAGAAAACGCCGTGCTATTCATCGGCGGCGTACGGGAACGAGTTCAGATTCATGGAAGACGGCGTCGCCGGCGGCGGCGGCGGCGAGCAATTCCTGTCGTGGCGGTTCAACGTGGCGGACCGGCCGAGCCTCGTTCATGACTTCACAAGATAGATCAACCAATCAACATAATTAATTAATTAAAAAAATCAAAAATTCGAAAAATTAATATCTAGAGCCAAAGATCACGATTGATGGTGACGGTGGTGGTGGCGGAATCTGAAAGCTATGGGTCGTGAAATTCTTTTCTTTTTCAGATGTTTTTTTTTTATATTTTTAATGTAGTTTCATATGAATCTTTATTACATACGTAGATGGAGTGAAAATGAGTTAATTCTATGTTTGTTTGTCGTTAGATTTTGTTTTGCTTTTTCTTTTTCTTTTTTATTTTTATTTTATTTTTTATTTTTTATTTTATTTACTTTATTTTGTCGACCTTTGTTGAGACTGCCTCCATATATATTATATAATTCTACTATGTATCTCTATCTAGGATGACCTTTTTGTGTTGGTCTATTTCATACACTTTGTCTAAATATAACAATTTCGTTTTTTTTTCTTTATTCTTTTTTAATTATTATTATTATTATTATTATTATTATTATTATTATTATTATTATTATTATTATTATTATTATTATTATTATTATTATTATTATTATTATTATTACCAATTATTATTATTATAACTTTATGAAGCACCGGACCCATTTGCATTATTAACATGTGTTTAAATTAAATAGTAAAACTTCTATATTCGGTTATCTTTGTGGATAAATCAAATTGATAGTTATTTTGATATTTAATTTTCGATAATGTAAAAATGCATCCTCATCCCAAGATGAGTGCGCTGCTATTCCGACTTCCCCAGAGCTTCGAGACAGTGATGGGTTCTCTGCCCCTGCGGGGATGGACCAAATAAGTTTTGAGAATTTAAGAGAAGGTCACGGCGAAATGAGTTGTTTATCACTACGATATGTGTACAGTGGAAGTACCGTAATGTAAGCATTGGAGACATTCTAACAAATCGGTAGATTTGAACCTGGTTTCTATATGACGTAATCAATTTGATCAGGCACGCGAAAAGAAGTATAAAAGAATTAACTACCCAAATAACCATTATGAATTGACATATATCAAATGGTAAATATCTGTATACTTATATTTAAAATTTGATAATCAAATTAATGCTTGTGGGTTGGAGTAAATTGGTATCAAAATTATAAAAATAACATCAAATTAGTATTTGATTGAACCATTTTAATGTTTTGTCATTAGAGTTACCCTAAAGACAATTATGATACATCGTTATGCCAAAACTAAAACTATCGTTAACCACTTTGTCGTGAAAATATTTCCAAACGTCACTTATATATTTTCGTGGTAATTGGATAGGTCAAATCGGAAGTAATACTTTCAACTCTAACAAAAGAGATTTGGACAAATCAGAAATATGCAATTAAAATGAAAAAAAAACTTGTTCTAAAGTTATTATTTATTGAATCAGAATCAGCAAAAATAGAAAATTTTGTTTTTCCATTTACCTACAATATAAAATACGCAATTAATATTAATACTATAAGTGTAACTGAAATGATTTATGCGGTAGCAAAATTACGAATGTCGTTCATAATAGTCTTCTCTTTCTCTCTCTAAAAACCCCAAATCCACCCAAATCCCAAAACGCTCAAAAGCCCTAAAATTCACAAAAACCCTCAACCTTTGTCACAAATCCTTCCAAATCTGAAAATCTCGTCAATCTATATTATATATAAAACTAAGATACACAATAAAATTTATCCACTTGAGGAGATTGAGTCCACATTTTTTTATTAATTTCAAAATAACCCCACTTATCATAATCAACATATTATTATGTAATTGATTTCACATAATTAATTTCAAATTTTATCTCTCCTACATGTCAAAATAATGTCTTTTTATTGGTTATTGAGTTTCCTTTTTTAATCCATTTTTTCATAATAAATACGTAAATATATAAATGGACATAATTCTTTTTTTGGGTTAATTAAATTTTATACACAATATTATATTAATTGCAAAAAAAAACCCCAATTATCATAATCATCTATATTATTAATTAATTAATTTCACATTATTGATTTTCAAATTTTGTCTCTCCTACATGTCAAAATAGTGTATTTTTATTGGTTCATGAGTTTTTTTTTATAAACAATATTTTGATTTAAAAAACGTAGGACTTAATTGCAATTTTTATAATTTCACAATTGAGTAAATTTTATGCACAATATTATATTAATTGCAAAAAAAACCACTTACAAGAATCACCCATATTATTAATGAAATAATTCCACATTGTTGGTTTTCAAATTTTATCTCTCCTACATGTCAAAATAGTGTATTTTTATTGGTTAATGAATTTCTTTTTTTATAAACAATAAATATATAGATTAAAAAAACTTAGGACTTAAATGCAATTTTAATAATTTCACAATTGATTTGATTGGTTATTGATTTGAAAAAAAAAAAAAGTATGAGCTTTATTATATTTTCCTTATTTTGACATATTATTATTTTAAAATTAATTTAGATAAAATAGGTAATTATATCAATTTACATTAATTACGTGATTTGTTACCTTTATTTTATTCCCTAACTCTCCTATAAATTATCATCCAACACATTAACTTTCTTCAACTTTTTCACATACATTTTTTCTGTTTTGGAGATATGGAGAGAATTCTCGAAAAAGAATTGCATTGGTATCACCTACATGCAATGGTATATTCATTATAGTCCATTTTGTAGTATAACAATGAATTATTGTTTTATTTGTATCTGATTTTTCATTCAATTCTATATGCAACCTTTGAGGAATACTTTTGTTGAGGCTTATCGGTTGACATGATTGTCTACTATCAATCTTCGCTACCAGGACCGAAATCATTTTGATGTTGGTGTGTATTCGCGACAAAAACATGGAAAAATGTATTTGCTGTTGACGAAGCTAAGGGTTGGACAGAGTTTTGTAAGCTTTATTATTAATAATATGAGTTGCATCGATTTTTAAATAATTTCGATTTCCTTTATTATGTTTATCTATTATTTGTAATTTATACAAATATATAGATTCACTTAAATCGAATGTATATACTAGCCATTTTATGGCTGAAAGAACATTGTATTCCAGTAACATAATTGTATGCATCCATACAGAAACGACTACCCATAAGATAAACTAAATAAAGATATAGAAACGATAAAGAAATTATAATATATTACAAAAAGAGCCACAAAATTGGGGCAAAAAAGAAAGTTTAACAATATCTAAATAACAAATGTTATAGATATGTATTGTTTTTGTAATTTATACAGCTAATGTTATATGCATCAAAGACCATATTAGGTTAATATTTATCGTTAAAAAGTATTGTATATACTATCTTTTTTATTTTAATACAAAACTCATAATATATCCAACAGTTAAATGTAAAAGTGCAAAATTATGTATATTTAATTGAATATATGCTAAGGACTTATTAGAGGAATATATTTTAGGTATGGGACTTAGGACAAATTTTAAAGTGCATATATTTTTATTGATATATGTTAATAAAGGAATTAATAGATTACCCTGATAACAAAACAATGAATAGACCATGTACATTTAAAAAAAAAAAAGTCAATTTGAGCAACATATATGATTTAGAATAGAATTGAAAAAACTTTATTGCCGAAAGAAGGCACTACGCTTAAATTTGCTCAACTTTACATTTTTGACACAAAAAATATGATTTAGAATGGAATTGATGCCGTCAGGTAAAATTTTGGGAATTATATTCCTGTTTCTAAAGAGTATAGAGCTTACAAATTATAATTACATTTTTTTTTTGTTTGGCAGGTCCGGAAATCAATCTAATGATCTTGGCCCAGCCCGTTGCATCGTTGAAATATATGATTGATGGTAACAATGTACTTGCACAGTCGTACCGTGTTGTTCGAGATCGGTTTTCCAATTGGCCATCAAGGAGTATAACTTAGATTGGTAAAGAGTTGCAGTACTAATGGCAGGACGTACAATCTTCCTAACGCAAGTGAAATAGCAGGCTTGATCGTTGGGGAATTTGACACACAAGAGGGTGTTAGGAATATTGTAGTTGAGACACGCTCACATAAGCTTCAACGAATCAGTGAGCTCCATCTTTTTTACTTGCCTCTACAGTATCCTCTTTTATTTCCTTAAGTTGAAGATGGTTATCGAGACGATATGAGTTTGAGAGAATCTTCGCTTGCTGGTAATAGAAAATGGAGGAAGGTAAGCATGCGAGAGTTCTTTGCATATATAATCCAGAAACGGCGTGGATAACATTTGTTACTTTTGCATTCCAAGAAGTTCTTTCAGAAGGTCTGTGTTGATGGATTTTCGATGGTAGAGTCACGGAGGTTTAATTAGGATTAACTTAGGGTTGACATGTAAAAGGGTATCGAAGAAAAGATTTTTAAAGGAGACACTGAGGGTAAATCAGTTGGACAACGCATTATAATCCCTGGGTCGTTCACCGCAGGTCCAATGTATATGTTTAACAACTTCGTTGAAACTCTTCAAATATGTAACTGGATTGGATTTCCAACCCTCTTCGTCGCCATCACATGCAATCCTCAATGTCCAGAAATACAAAGGGTGTTGAAAGATACAAATCTCAGGCCGGAGGATCGACCAGACATTATTTGTCGTGTGTTCAAGATGAAGCTCAATAGTATGATGACATAAATCAAGAAGGGTTGTATATTCGGACGTATTAGAGCATGTAAGTATTTAATTAGATCTCAGTTTATAATTATACATTTACTACATTCATATAAATTAAAGAATTTGCTCATGTGTGAGTTTAACTACTTATTGCTTCCTTAACTAAGTTAATGCATAATTTTTTAATACCATATGCTTATATTTTCTATGCAGATGTATGCACCATTGAATTTGAGAAACGAGGTCTATCGAATGCACATATTTTATTGTAGTTGCATAATGACGATAAGCCCAAGAACACAGAAGAAATTGACAGGATCACATGTGCTGAAAATCCTGACGAAGAAAACGACCGAAAGATGTATCAGTTGGTGGAGAAGTATATGATACATGAACCGTGTTGTCAGGCGAATTTGAAATCTCCCTGTATGAAAGATTGAGTTTTCACGATGCGATTTCCAAAGCCGTTTGTGCAGCGCACTGAATCAGATGCAGATGGTTTTACTGTGTACAGGAGAATGGAAGATGGCAGAACAGTTATGAAGAAGAAGACTACTCTTGACAATGGGTTTATAGTCCCGTACAATCGTATATTGTTGAGTAAATACCGATCTCATATTAATATCGAGTTATGCAACCAGAACAAGTCAATCAAATACATGTTCAAATACGTAAACAAGGGGCATGACCGAGTTATGGCGACATTTTATGAAACACGCAATACAGATGGCGGTGCTGAGATTCGTGATGAGATAAAGATGTACTACGACTGCAGATATCTTTCGGCAGGTGAGGCAATGTCGAGGTTGTTTAATTTTGATATTCATTACAGAAACCCGTTAGTAATTAGGCTAAGCTTTCATCTCCCCGATCATCAGCCGTTTGTCTTCAATGAAAACCAGTCATTACAAAGTGTGCTGGATAGGACACCTGCTCAGCAAACTATGTTCCTATCGTGGTTTTGTTGGGTTTCGGGCACGCATACGCAGCGGAAAACAAAAATTTTATGCGATTTAAACGACTTTAAAACACATAATTACATGCCCGACAAATTAAATCAATTAATTGCGTACCTTTGCGCTTCCAGCGAAATTAAAAACAACATACATGCTAATAAATTTAACCGAATTTAAATCAATTAACATGCTCGCGTTTAAACCAAATAACATGCTTGTAATGATTTAAAACGATTACACATAATCACATAAAATCATACGAAACAAACATGAATACATATACATAGGTTTAAACGAAATTGAAACGAAACTAGGGTTTCGTGTGTTTACCTCTCGATGCGTGAGGTAGGAGCGTTTAGCAAGTCGAGATTGCTACGGAAACCAATCCGTACAATCGGGGCAGCAGCGGTGCAGCGGCAGCAGCGGCGCGTGAGGTCACGACGGCGCGTGAGGTACACGCGCGGTCTTCGGGGCGGCGCGTGGGGCAGCGTGCGGCTTCGGCTCGTGCGCTGCTCCTCGATTCTTCGATCTACAGTCTTCCTCCTCTCGGAGCATAAAACCCTAGCGGGCTTAAGTTGGACCGGGCCCAACAACTTAAGTCCGTTAGTACTTTTACTTGCTCGTCTCTCTTAATTCAATGACCGAAAAATTGCAACGATTACATTTTCGGAATCATTATAATTTCCTCGTCATTACGAGTGCCATTTCTCATTTTCCAACTTTCCAAAAGTGGAAACCCTAGTTCAGTGCACTTTCTAAATTTGGAAACTTCCCGATTTAGAAAGTTCACTAACACGTTCGCCTATTCTTTTCCTTTTCTTATTCTCATTCATAATTCCAAATTATGAATGTTGGATCCAATCATATTGACTTCCAATCATGCAAAGATAAACTTACTTTATCTCTGACCGTTTATTCAAAGATCTCATGTGCACGAGCAGTGTGACCCTCGATGGTTCAGGTGTAAGCTAGCCGTGGGCCCACAACCCTTTGTGGTCAAAACTCGTCCCCTTCGAGTTACGATTAAGATGAAGCTCGTTTCACCTTAATCACCCAACGAATCAAGATTGGCGTCTAGCAACTACGCGTCATGATTCCCTAGATACAAATGAAGTGCCTGCAAGAACCTTCAGATATAGTTAATGTACAGTACGGTCCCTTCGATTCATATGTCCCGATCGAACTAGAGGCATTGGTTTATCGAGACCTCTTTATATGTTCGATGACGGTGCGATCGTTCTAAGTGTTGTAATCCTTACGTGCATGGCTTAGAGAATCGAATTCTCTAATCATCACTTAGTCAGCTCTGGCCAGAGACTTAGAATGATTACAAACTTTCAGAACACACAGGACATCCAAGACTATTCTAGCGATCGAATCCCCGACTACAATGCACAGACCTCCCACTAGATTTCGGACTGCACGAACACTGGCCCTTGGGATGGTCCTCGGTGGAACTCAGGGACAGGTCACGATACAGTTGGTCCTCTAGTGAAGTCACGGTGATGTCTAGGTCATAAGGACTAATGGTGTACAACTATACCATAGATATCTCTACTCGATTATTGGGAACCACTTAGATATTTCTAGGGTGAGGGAGTTCAGTGAACTCGTCAACTTACGAGCACCCACTTATGCATGCCGATATCACAATACCGTTTACTGATGAGATGCAGTACACATACACTAAGTGCTAGTCTTAATGGGAAAGGCCGATATCCTCATTAGTGGCGTAACCCTTCGACTAGGAACACGTTTAACAGTTATAATACTTAAGTAAATATCTCACGATCCTAACGATCAATTACTAGTACTTGTAATAACTGTAAGGACTATATCTATGCTTGTGACAAAGGGACAAAGATATAGAATGCCAAGGTGTTTTATCATTAATACGAATAAAGGTTCGTTTATTACAATAATAAATACGAAAGACCACAGCCACAGGTTGGCTTGTTGGTCACCTACTCTAACAGGTTTGAGGCCAACAAGAACTATCCACATGCTAGGGACTTAAGGTACGGAGATTTTTCACAACAATTTGTATATAAAGAGGATCCTCGAAATTGGGCGCCAAGGAAAAAATGTTTTTCTATTGGTAGGCTTGCGAATATTCCCCTGTAAAGGGGGAAGACTATTACCTTAGGTTGCTACTTAACATTCAGAGGGGATATACGTGCTACGAGGACATCCGAAAAGTTTTTGACACCGTCTACCCTACGTTCAGGGATGCATGTTATGTGTTGGGTTTGTTAGATGACGACAAAGAATACATAGATGCAAAAATAGAAGTGAATACTTGGGCACCGGGGGATTATATAAGAAGGTTATTTATAGTTATGCTTCTTTCCAATAGCTTAAGTCGGCCCGAACATGTTTGACAAAGTTGTTGGTTGGATTTGGCGGAGGGTATTGCTTACAAACAACAACGTCTTCATAATAATCCAGGTATGGCAATTTGTATAGATTTTAAATACTACTCATTCTTTTAATATTGTCTCTTTACGTTTTGAACTAAATGCACATAATTTATCCATTATTTTTTTAAGATTTACATATATCGGATGAAAGCTTGAAGAACTATACTCTCACCGCAATAGGAAAAATATTGCAAAGCAATGGTAAAAGCCTGCGAAATTATGTGCCCATGCCAGTTCCAATCGATTTCTCAGCGGAGGACACAATAAACATATTGGTGTTAGATGAACTGGATTACAACCGGTTTCAAATGGGTAGACAACTTCAACGGTGTCTTGCTTGAATTACAGACGAGCAAAGAAAGGTTTATGATGTAGTCATGGATGTTGTATCCAATGACCGTGGAGGAATGTTCTTTTTATATGGTCATGGTGGAACGGGAAAGATGTTTCTATGGTAAACTCTTTCGGGAGAGATTGTAATTAACGTTGCATCGAGTGGTATAGCATCGTTATTGCTCCCCGGTGGAAGAACAACTTATCCTCGATTCGGACTACCCATAAATGTACACGAGAGTTCCACTTGCAGCATATCGCAACAAAGTCCACAGATGGAGTTGCTCATAAGAGCAAAGCTTATTATATGGGACGAGGCTCCTATGATGCATATATACTGTTTGAAGCGCTTGACAAGACAATGAAGGTCAATATTACAGGTTGACAAACTCTTTGGTGGTAAGGTGGTTGTTCTTGGAGGAGATTTTAGGCAGATTTTACCAGTTGTGCTCAAAGCATCAAGGCAGGACATAGTATATGCTACGATAAACTCCTCTCCGCTGTGGAATTTATGTTGTGTCATGAAGTTGAATAAGAACATGAGATTGCAGTCATGCTCTTCACCATCTAACGTGGATGAGATAAAAGAATTTGGAGACTGGATACTGAAGGATGGTAATGAGGATGATGGGAAACAAAACGATGGTGAAGCTTCGATAGAGATTTCCGATGACATGTTGATTGGTGATTCAGAAGATCCATTCAGAGACCTACTGGAATTCATTTACCCGGATCTGTTGAGTAACATGTATGATCCAGATTATTTTCAAGGGAGAGCAATTCTTGCACCAACTAATGAATGCGTCGAGTCTGTGAACGATCACTTAATGTCTCTCATTCCAAGAGAGGAGAAGGTGTACCTGAGCTCAGATAGTATGTGTAGGGACGAGCAAACAATGGAGGATAATGCAGGAATTTATTCGACTGAATTCCTCAACACAATAAGATGCTCCGGACTTCGTTCTCATGCGTTGAAGTTCAAGGTTGGTGCACCCGTTATGCTAATAAAAAACATCGATCAAGCTAGAGGATTGTGTAACGGGACCAGAATTCAAATTGGCATTCACGTTCTGAGTTGCAAAATTATTTTCGAAAAAAATATCGGTGACATGGTGTTCATTCCTCAGATGACTTTAATACCATCTAACTCCGGATTATCAGTTAAATTTCAGAGAAGACAGTTTACATTGATTGTTTCTTTTGCAATGACAATCAATAAAAGTCAAGGTCAAACTCTTTCGCATGTTGGTTTGTATCTTCCTAGGCATGTCTTCAGCCATGATCAACTATATGTTGCACTATCCAGCGTTACGAGCAGAGGTGGCATTAAGATATTCATCAAGTTGGATTCGGGTGAACTCACCAATGTTACTAGAAATGTCGTGTACAAGGAAGTACTTCATCGAATTTGAAGGTAGAAAATATTTTCATATTTACCAATTATTCATGTAACATATCTTTTTTTAACAACTTATTCTTTGGCAGGTGTTTCTTCTCTATATAATTTCCCCGTGCGATGTTATTTTTAGTCATGTCTCTAAGATACTCAGTGCAAATCTTATTATCTTTAAGATTTATGTTTGACGACATACTAATATTTACTATTATTCTTATGATGTAACTATGAAGAACATGATACTTAAAACATATTTTTTATATTGTTGGTCGCATTTTGTATTTAAATTCAATGAGCGTAATAATTTATATATGCATAAATTTGTTTTTCAGACATTGTATTTTCAGTTAAAAATATGCCGCCCCGTGCATCGCACGGGTGAATACTAGTTTGAAAGGTAATATAGCATCTAAAGTAGTTATATATATTGAATTTGTGGTTAATCATGTGAAAATCCCCAGAAAAATGCGATTTAGGGCTGTTGTTAATGTTGGGTTTTTGATTTTTCCAAGGCGTGAAAACTGCTTTCACACGCCCATTTTGGGCGTGGAAAATTGGTTTGGGCGTTCGGTCCAGACGCCGGTCAGAGTCTGCACGTCCGATCCAGGCGTGCAGACCCCTGACTGGCGTCTGGACCGGTTGTCCGGTTCAAATTTGTTTTTGCCCAGTATAAATGAAATGAATGATTATATTTACATAAGTATTAATTAACAAATTTGTTGTAGCCTAGTTGGTCAGGGGAATTGGTACTTGCATAATATGAATCCGGGTTCGAGACCTTGTAGCAATGCGAATATATTAATTTTTTTGATTACCCGAGTTCGAGTCCTTGTATTGTAGCAGTGCGAATATATTGATTACCCGGGTTCGAGTCCTTGTAGAAGCGCGAATATATGATTTTTTTGATTAAAACTCAGGGCCCGTTTGATTACCTCTTATTGGCCTCTTAATGAGTAATTTTCGCTGATTTGGTCAGCATAATGATATTTAGCGCGTTTGGAGGGAATCTCTTAACTGAAAGATTTATTGCTTACCGATTCAGCCGCAATTCTCACGCTTATTCGGTGAGACCTAGTTCTGAATATTTTTTTTTATTTCTTTTACCCATAGATAACCTTGTACATTCCAACCCTACCATCATAAAATATATCCCTCTTACGAGTCTTTTCATCACCACTGCTCACACATCATTGAAATCTATAGCAGAACTCTGCAAGACAATTCTTCAAATTCCTGAGTAAGTTTTTTTTTTTTTCGGTTTTGACAAATTCTTAATCTTTGTTATAGTTTTTTTTTTTCTTTTGTTGAGTTTTCTATTACTCCATCTGCAATTTATAATTATACACAAATTAATATTTAACTGAGCAAGGTTGTTATAGAAAAATCGATATGCCCTGTAATTTTTTTTTTTGGATTCGTAGTAATTTGTTAATGTTGCTGTTTCTCGCACTTCTGGCCACTATGTCGTAGCTATATATTCTCAAAATTATGTACTTCTCCTGATTTGAGATTTTATTTTTGTTAATTGAATATATATATTTTATTTATTAATGTTGACTTCTGACCACTATGTAGTATTTGTATATTCTCAAAATCATTTACTTCTAATTTGAGATTTTATGACTTTGTTAATTGAATATATATATTTTATATGGAGTGATTTTTCATGAATTGAATATATATATATTTTATATGGGGTGATCTTTCAGGCTCCAGTTGATTCGTGTGTATTGTGTACAATTTGCCCTAGACATAATTTTTTTAGGTTAAGTCGTTTTGATTTTCGATGGAAAAAGAAATACTGCTTTGGTCCAATGATCCAAAAATAATAATACGTAATTGAAGATACGATAAGCATGCAATATCTCATTACATAGCCTTCATCTATTTAGCATTTAAAAAAAAATAAAAAAAAAATCATACACTACAAAAATTACTCTTGAAGCTTCGGCTAATTGTAAATTATCAATACCACCATGACATTTGTTTCTATTTTTTAATCACAACTCGTGAGGGTTAACTTTGAAGAATAAATATTCATGAATATAGGAATGGAGGAATCTGATGAAAATAATAGAGTCAGATGGAACAACAATGAAGTAGATAAATATTTTCTCGAATCATGTATCCAAGAAGTTGCTCTAAATGGTGGAGAATGAGGTAGTCTGAAGTCAGAATCTTGGGCCACAATTATGAACACTTTGAAGAAAAATCATAACTTTGTTGTTTGTCAAAGACAAATGAAGAATCGATATGACTACTTAAAACAAAAGTATCAAGCTTGGTTGACGTTAACTATGAAAAAGGTAATATTTACAATCATGCCACCAGCACCATCAACATGACAAAGGAAGAGTGGACAGAGTATATAAAGGTTTATTGTTTAGGTTTTTATTGGGTTATCTAACTTTTATTAGTAATTATAAGATTTTATTAAGAATTATAATTTGATACTTTAATACAGGCTCATCCTAAGGCAAAGAGTTTAAGACTTGCACCTCTACATTATCATGACCTTTGTAGAGCACTATTCGATGGTGCCACTGCTACTGGTGTTCATTCTTGGGGACCTAGTTCCCAAGATCAAAATTCTAGTGTTACCTCATTTTCTTCGAGTAATGTCCGGAATATGGAACAAAGAGACATAGAAGATATTTCTTATTGTGATGAAGATGGAAATTTTAGGGATACCAGAGGGACTCAGACTAATGATTTCCCCCATCGTTCTCAAGGAGAAAAGCCTAAAAAGAAAAAGAAAAATAGTCAACCCTCCCCCGGTGATAATAATTTAATAAATGAGATGTCAGCAACTTTGAAGTTTATGATTAAAAATAATAGTGGGCCTTCTGTTACAGATTGTATTGCTAAATTGGATGAACTTGAATGGGATAAATAAGACATCTTATATGTTTCAGCTGTTTTAATCTTTGGCAGTTGTGCAGGACATAGAGAAGCTTGGATGGCACTTCCTAAGGATAATGTCGGAGTTCTGAAAGCATGGATTAAAAGAATTGGACAAAATACGGGATTTTAATTTTAACTTGCAATGGCTTATGTATCAAATTTTAATAATTTAGTAGTATTTATTTATGGCGATGGATTTGTTTTAAGTTTCGTAAGTTATTGAAAACTTTTTATGTTATTAGTTTCAATTTTAGTATCAGACATTCAGACTTGTTCAGTTAGTACTTTTTATAATAATAGACTTGTTTTACATTTACCTTGTGAATTAGATTCCCTTTATGATTCAATATTTTGCTAATGATAGTTTACATTCTCAAATATTTAATGTATTGATCATTTTTGTTAACATGTCAAATATGGAAATTTACGAGATTATGATATTGATGATGATCTATTGGTACACACAAATTCGTCCGAGATATTTGATGCGCGTACCAAGAAACAAAGATAATAATTCAGCATTGTTGGGACATGCTTACACATTGGAGCTCTTGTCTGGGTCAGACACACAATGTATTGAATTAATGCGCATGTCTCGTGTTGCATATATTCGTTTGAGCATGAATTTTAGACAACGAGGGTGGCTGCATGATAGTAGACATGTATCAGTAGAAGAAAAAATGGCAATGTTCTTGCAAATTATTGGACATAATAAGCGTCTTCGTATAGTGAAGTGTAGATTTCAACACTCTTCACAAACAGTTCATGCGTATTTTCACGAAGTGTTGAGTGCAATGATGAATATGGCAAGGGACATAATAGTACCAACAACATTTGTTCGGCAAGTTTTAGGAGGTTACACCGAATTTTTAAGGTAGATATTGTGCATCGTTCCATTTCTATCATTATTTAATTCTCTTCTTGTTTCCGTAACTTATTTTTATCTTATTGTAGGGAGCAGTAGGTGCACTTGATGGAACACTAGTACATGCAGTTGTTCCAGTTTCAAAGCAAACTATGTACAGGGGTAGAGGAAAAGGGCCAATGCTATCAAAATGTTTTAGGAATATGCGACTTTAATATGATGTTTACATTCGTTTGGGAAGACTGGGAAGGGGTAACACATTATTCAAGAGTCTTAACAGATACAGTTGCTGATCCGACAAACGGTTTTCCATGGCCTCCCGCTGGTATTACTTTAAATTCAAATCATTTATACGTTAAATCTGATCTTGAATTATTTTTATTATTATTACAGGTAAATACTATCTTTGTGATGCAGCATACACACATACTAGAGGATTTATGGTTCCGTATCGCAATGTGCGATATTGGTTAGGAGATTATCGTCGTAGACGTGCTTTGACTAAAGAAGAAAAATTTAACCATGCTCATGCTCAACTAAGGAATGTCATTGAACGAACTTATGGTGTTCTGAAAAATAGATTTCCGATTTTGAAAAGATGGCCACTTTTTCATTAGATGTGCAAAGAAATATAGTGATTGCTTGTTTTGATGTGCATAATTTTTATAAGAAAGGAGCGTATTAGTGATAAATTTCTTGAGAAGCTTGATCAACCCAATATGTCTTTTGATGGTGCGAATGAGGATGGACAAGACCACGAGAATGATGGTACAACTACCGGACCATGGTGGGGGGTCGATGACATGCAGTCAGGGGCGAGTCCACCCTTGGGCAAGGGTGGACTCAAGCCCACTCTCATTTTTTTAATTTTCCCCCTTATATTATACCCTATTTCTATTTAGCCCACCCAAATTTTATTTACTAGCCCACCCAAAATTTCATTTAATGCAAAAGAAGCCCCATATTTTATTAATTAGCCTACCCAAAATTTAAATTAATACAAAAAATCCCAAATTTTATTAATTAGCCCACCCAAAATCCAAATTAATACAAAAAAACTCTAAAATTTGTTTTTTTTCTTTTTTTTTTGCCGTTTCTCCTTTTCCTATTTTCAAAAAAATCCTAAAAAAGTCTCGGGGGCGCTGCCCCCGAACCCCCGAAAATTGAAGCCCCCCCTGTACTGAATTCCTGGACTCGCCACTGCATGCAGTACATGGCTAATGTTCCCGATGAGATCGCAACTCGATTGATGCATTGAGTGAGTGACCATTTAGAATTTATTAAATATTTGACGTTGATTTTAGCAACTTTAATCTTTTAGGTCAATTTTAGCGACTTTTATGTATTTCCATATTTTAGCTATTTTTATTTGTGAATGTTATATTTATTAGTTGTTTGAATTTTATATTTTATCCATGTTAAATATTTTAAATTTTAAAATTTATTGATTATATAGATCATGCTTAATTTTGTTTTTGTTTATCTATATATGTTAATCAAAATTAATTATTTAACAAATAAAATGCAGCATTAAATAAGGGTATAATAGAAAAATAATAATATTCAGACATTCAATTATCAAATGGACTTAATTGCTCAGCATTCAGTATTCAGACACAACTTTTATCCATTTAGACACGTATTCAGCATTCATCATTCAACGGTTAATCCTGTGAAACATATTTTTCGGCGTCCAAATTGGTTGTGAGTCACGTTTTTCCGATTTATAGAACAAAAACGAACAAATTTTACCTCATTGGATCCCGTATCTCGATTCTCATTCGAAGTACTCATTTTTCTTTGCAAATCGCTACAATAACATGAGTTTTGGAACGATTTCTAATATAAAAGCTATTAAAATAAAATTGTAGTGAGAGAAAGATAGGTAAATAATGGATTATTTAAACCCGTATTCGTAATTTTGCTACCGCAAATATCACCTCCATGTATGTAAACTTTTCAAATAAATGAAATTTTCATAATTACTTTTACAAACTCTAACCGGATCTCGAAAACCAGAATCTCTTATATATTCCAATTTCGTTAAAAAAAAATTCTATAAAAACGGAAATCAGAACTTTCGAAATTCAAAATTGGAAATTTGGAATCGACATAACTCGTAAATTCTGTTCCAATTGTCAGCCCATTTATGGCCCACGGGCCATAATTTTCATGGGTTTAAGGTTTTAATCTCCAGCTTTACTGCAAACGTTACGATCATCAGTGCCGTCGTTTCCTTCTTCAAATAGTCCATTACTGAAGTCTCCGTCGCCGGACGGCGCCCTGCCGGTAATTTTTTTTTTCTTCAGAATTCTATTTACGCCGCCTCTTTTCCGTCGGTGATTTATTTCGTTTGATTTCTTCCGATGCAAAAATTCCAGCAGGTTACGGCTGATATACTCGATGATTGAATGTTTGCGCGGATCAAATTGGAATTCGGGTTCGAGAAAATGTTCCGCTGATTTGAGTGTGGGCATTCTTTTTTCCAAGGCTGCACCCAAGGTGTTTGATAAATGTCCTATGTGAAATTCAGTTAATTGCTAAAGCTCTGTGGGGTGTAAAAATGGTGTTGAAGCTGTATCTAGTAGGGCTGTGCGTTGGTTGGTTTGGTTAAAAACCAGCCCTAAAACCAACCCAACCCATCCAACCAACTTTGGTCAATATTGGAAACCGTTATCGATCCAATTTACATGGGTTGGGTGATGGTTGAAAACCAATTTAGTGGGTCGGTTGATGGTTTGGTTGATGGGTCATCCATCTAAATATTTTTTAATTTTATTTAATATTTTATTAGTTGTTACAACACTATATATTTTATAAATTAAATATGATTAGTTCAACAATATTCAAAATAAAAAAATTCAAAACATTACGGCGCATTTCTATTGCAATTAAACATAAATAGTTCAACAAATAATAATCGTCCAAATATTTAGACTATATGTCTTAAAATTAAAATAGTTCAAAATAGATAATTAGGTTAGATTTATTGTTTTTAGGATTTTGGTCAATATTAAACAATTTAATAAATGCGATATAAAATAGAAATTTGAAATTAAAAATATTAAATATTTTAAATAAAATTAATAAATAATAAATTAATAAATAAAGTTGGTTGGCCGATATTACCCGACTAACCAACTTTATAGCATATTAGAAACCATTATCGACCCAACTATATATGGGTTGGTTGAGATTATCGACCCAACTTAAATGGGTCGGTTGATGGTTGATTATCCATCACAAATTATGGGTCGAAAATGGGTTGGTTGGTGGTTAAAACCGACCCGTGCACAGCCCTAGTATCTAGAATCCTGTAAAAGACTTCACTTTTCATATTCGATTGATCGAAATTTTCTTTGTGTTCGGGGATTGTGTTAATAATTAGAATTTTTGAAGATTAACACTTTTGTTTGATGAACTCAGTTGCAAATTCATTTTAACAGAGAATCAAATATTTTGATTCCAGTGCATTGTTGCATTATCTTATCTGGCCTTAGATATGGTGATTATCGGGAAACCGCAAGTTCATGTGATGATGCTAAGAGGGACACATTTTTGTATCTAATTTTAAATAACGGAAAGTCTTGAAGCGGTCTTGTTTAGCAAATGCCGATTTATGTTCGTCACGGTTCTTAATTAGGTAAATGATCCGAATGCGTTTTTTTCTTTCCTTTCGATTTTGCAATATGAATGTGCGTTTTGATGCCTGTCATAGACGTAGAGTAATTGCGAATATGAAGAAGCTTCGCACAATTTAGAAACATGTTTCTTACCTTATCATAATTGTGCAATATATGGCATAATGAAGATTCTTGACGAATAAGAGTGACAATATACGAGAAATCAGATGCTACACCTGGTTATTTACACTGGTGGATTTGAACAGTAAATCTACACATAATCACACAACACACACAATGTAAATAACCAGGTGTAGCATCTAATTCCCTTATATATATAGTTGGAGTACTTTCCTTTCAAGATTCTTGCTCAACTAATATTCCGTTTTCTTGATCCAAGATTCGACTTATACAAATTCCCCGAATACACGAAAATTCATAACGCATTTTACGTTTCCTAAGAATAGAATCAATACGTTGGCTAATTAACCCCTCCGCACGAATCGATACACATTCACACCAACTCTACCACCATCGGAGGGGCTATCGGTATGTATAACATCAACATCAAACAACTTCTTGGCTTTCTTGAAAAACGCAGATTCCTTCTTCCATCTCTTCAAATGCGCCATAACAAACACGATTCTCTTCTCGCTTTCGAGCAAGAAGAATTTGAGGGTTTGCAGCAGCGGTTCGTAGAGGTGGTCGTGGTACACTACGTCGGACCCGAGTACGATATCGTAGTCCCAGCCGACGGCTTCCATGTGGGCCCTGTCCCCCCACGCCAGCGCCGCCACGCCGACGGTTCCGCCGGCGGCGGCGGCCAAGATTCCGGCGTTGGCGTCGACGTTGAACTGGAGGTTGGGGAGTACGCGGGGGAGGTCTGTGACGGTGACGGTAGCGCCGAGTAGCGCGGCAGCTGCTATTCCGACGAGTCCGGTGCCGGAGCCTAGTTCGAGAATCCGGAGGCGGCGGTTGGGGGCGGTGAGGAGGGCGGAGAGAGGGGTGGGTTGGGCGGCGGCGTCGTCGCCGCTGCGGTGGCGGTCGAGGAGGGTGTAGAGAGTGGTGGCGGCGGGCCAGAGCTGGAAGGAGAGGCCCTGGGAGGGGAGCTGGCGGATGACGACGGCGGAGTTAATGGAGTGGAGGAGGTAGCTTTCTTGTTGTTGTTCTTGAACGGCGGTTTCGGGTGGGGGTTCGGACATTTTTGAGAGTTTACAGGCGGCGGCGCAACTGTGGGGTTTTGATGTATTTATGGAAACCCTGATAATAATGGAAACCACTTGCTTATATATATATATACTATTAATATATGTATTTATGTTTGTGTTTGATTGGCTAATTTTGGCAAGTGGGCATGAAATTGAGTAAGACTTTTGGAGGGTGAAAATTTGGGTATTTTAGATTTAGAGCAAATCCAACGCATTAATTTTTATAAATGAGTTGACTCCTATTTTATCATACACTATTAATAATCGGTTAAATTACGGTCGGCCACTGAAGTAATGTCAAATTATCGAAACGAAACGAAAAATTGTATTTGGGTAATTACGATCACCCTTTTCAATAATAAATTTTCTTACACGTCTATTCTTGTGATGGTGTTAAATTCAATCGTGGAATGTTATCTAATTTGTACTCATTTTGTGTACAATTAATGCAATTTTTGATGCACCGCAATTTGATATTTGCAAGCTAAAAGACACATATTATGATCATCTTGTTTCAAAATATAGAGTTTGAATGAGGTAAAACGGGTACAAACAAAAAGATATTCTACATAATCTAGAAGATTCCTTTAGATTGGACGTCGCAAGGGTGGACGTGTAAGGAAATTTATAGTCGAAAATGTCGTAATTTACCCTTAATTATATTTCAAAAAAAATATTTATTCGAGGTCAATCATTTTACTAATATTTAAATCCGCAAAGTTCAACTTATTTTATATATTTTCATGTTTAATGTTAATCATGTATATGTTTTTCTTGGTGATAAACTCAATTTTTTTTCATATTTTTTTAAAATACAAATTTGATCATTTTTCTTCAAGAATATATAATAATTTCGATTTTTCGATCCAAAAAATATGTCAATTTTTTTTCCTGTTTCCTGTTTTCTGTTTTTTTTTTGTTTTTTTCGTTTTCGTTTTTGTTTTTCTTTTTTGAACATTGTTTATCAAATGAAATAGTAGTTTGAAAAAACTTTAAAAAAATACGACCAGGAAAGACCAAGAAAGACAATTCCTTCAAAAATTAAAATACTGCGATATATTGACGGCCGTTTAGTTACAATCTCATGATGCATTTTGTCACGAGATATACAATTTCAGGGTGAACTTTGCCATTTTTAGAATTTGATGGTGCAAATTGTGAATCCATATTATTTTGAAGGTGCATAATGCAATTCACCAATAAAACTGTATAAACAATATATATGAGGGAATACTTACATGTCCATCAGTGCGGTCTCAAATTTAGTGGAATCTTCTAGATTATGTGTTATATTCTCTAATTTGTGCTCGTTTTATCTCCTTCGAGCTCCACATTTTGCAACAAGGTGATCATAAGATGTGTCTATTGACTTGTAAATATCAGATTGTGGTGCATCAAAAACTACATTTTTGCACAAAACGGGTATAAATTAGAGAACTTTCCACGGAATCTAGAAAATTATATTGAATTTGGCACAATAAAAATGAACATATAAGAAGACTCATAATTAATGAGACGTTTGTAATTATCCAAACAATATGAGTTTTTTCGTAATTTGAACTCATCTCAGGGATGTGACTGTAATTTACCCTGCATACAATAAAAACTAAATAAATAAAAAAGCGCAACAACAACACGTTATAGGATTTAACTTTTTTCTCAAGACAATAGGATTTTATTTCTTTATTAAATAAAAAAATAAAAATAACTTTTTTCCCAAGCTAAGACCCTTATTTTCTTGCGAAGCAAGTCCATCAAACTTGTCTATATATATAAGCCCTCCACCATATTATACGTATAACTCCAAAACCTCTATCTCTCTCTCTCTACACTCTCTCTCTACTCGATCGTTATATAAGATGGACCATCAGAACGACGCCGTATCAACCACAAATTCTTGTTCAAAGAAACCATATGATAAAAGTGGAAGCTTTGTTGACAACTTAAAGAATCGGTTTGATGGTTTTGTCAACACTCCCATGAAAGACCACAAGGATTGCTTCAAATTGTCGTGGCACCGGGTATTTTTAATTAATATTAATTTTCTAAATTTTATTTATTTATAAATTAATTTCTATATTTGATAATTATACAAATATCTTACAAGCTATTTTTGTGAATTACGTAGATGATTGATAGATTCTCGACAAAAACGACTTCAGCCAACGAAGAAGTTCAAACTCCGGTGACGGTGACTGATCTTCAGCCAGCTTCAAGGAACTAAGATAGATATATTGTGTTTTTCATGATTTATTTGATTTTGCAATTATATATTCAGTTAATATGATACGTTGGTAGCTAGAATTTTAATTTGTTTTTTCTTTTTCAGAGCTACAATATTTTTTTTTTATTTAATAAAAGTTAGGTTTTATTTCTGCTGAGATTTTATCCACCACTTGTATCTATTTGATTATTTTCTCTATTTTAATATTTTACATTGTTGAGACAAATATAAACATAAACATGTCTAAACATGCATGTGTTAATACTAGATCACTTAATTCTTACAAGTTGAAGTTTTCGTGCTATATACTGAAAAAAATAGTTTAAATAAAAACCAATAATTTGAGTCCCTTGTAGAATTAATTATTTCAAACAAGATCAAAGATTTGTTGATGTGAAGTTAAAAGTTTAAGTTTCCATCCAAATGTTACCTGGAATTGTTTGAAGTACACTTGGTTATTTACATTGAGTGAATTTGAACAATAAATTTGATTAAATAACTATCCACTAAGCACACATACATGTGTGTGTAATTATGTATTGTGTAGATCTGATTCAAATCTACACAATATAAGTAACATATGTAGCATCTAATTTCCCCCATTTAGTCACATTTGGTTACCACATTTATTTTTTATTAGCTAATTGTAGGGGTTTGTAAGACGTTCGGTTGAAAGGTTCGTACTTACTCAAATCCACTAAAAAGTGTACTTACTCAAATCCACTAAAAAGTTCAAGCATTCAGTTAAATACTACTATTTTATTAAATTAGTATTTTTCCTCCCTATAATTAATTTTATGAGAGATGACTGAAAAAATAAAAAAAAGACAATTTTATTCTCCATACTCATCTTAATTTTGTTGAGTAAAATATTTTAGGGGTGATTACAAATAAGCCCATCAATGGGTACCTATTCATAAGATCCAGACAAAAAAACTTCTTTACCAATAAAAAATAGTACACGTTAATTATATTTATTTATGTTTAATTTTCTGAATCCTTTACGGCGTACTAATATTTTTTGTATAGAGATATTACAAATTTAAAATCACAATTGATTATTGTTCATTACTACGAAATGTACAAGAGAAACATCCGATTGAATTCGACTACCGTAAGGTACAAACGCCACCGTTGACTGAAGACATATTTAAATATACCGATATTGAACTAATCTTATTTGAATCATTACGACACCCCGCAATACGTGTAAAAAAAATGCTTCAATTTAAACGTAGATGATTCCTTCAATAATAATTCGAAGTTAAAATTTGTTTACTGTTAAAATTTTTTTTTTTTGGAATTTAAAATTAAGCTATAAAGTGCTTTCAAGTTTCAATTTACTTTTTTTCTTAATTGTAATTTATTATTAATAAAAAAAAATTGAAAAATTCGATTTGGATTCGGACCCGGGCACACCTCCCCACGGGTATATTTCGCCCCACATAAAACTTGGACCTGAACCCGGCAACCCGCCACGTGACTGTGTCTGCCATCAGTTTTGACTTTCAATTTTCTTATTCATTTCATTTAGTGGACGTAAAATACACGTGTCACTTTTTTTCCTCCAAAACGTGCATATTTGAAAATTCTAAGATGCATTTCACAAATAAAAGAACACAAATTAAAAAAATCAATTGAGTGTTAAAATGTTTCCAATTAGTGATTTTGCTTGAGAAATATATTAAAAGTAATTTATATATATTTATCAGAAGTTACGCATTAGTGTAGTCAAATATCGCGGATATATATCACACCATTACGAAACGATTTAAGATACAAATCGGTACTTGCATAAACATTGGAATATATCGCTCCATATTGTTCGAAAACGGACATACGATGCGATATGTACCAGAGCCCA